TTTTTTTTTTTTTATAAACCGGCGAACTAATTACGAGATTAATGGGCAATAATTTGAATGGGAAACTAAAGACTTGGTCACCATGTTTTAACTTTTAAGCCGACTTATAATCTATTGCTAAAATTCAATTATTACATTATAAAGTTTGGAATTTAATTATAATAAAAAAATTAACTTTCTTTCTTACAAATAAAATAAACATAGTTGCACCATACACCGCCCTCATTCTTTTTTTCTTTAGCATATTTTATATTAAATAGTTTTTAATGTTAGACTTTTACTTTCATATGATTTTCAGCAAGATTTCGTGAAAGGGAAGGATGATTTATTAATATTTAGAGCTATTTATTGGTCAATTTGTACTGCCAGTTAAAATAGTACCGGCCCACCCCTCCTTGATCATTTCCACCAATTCAGTGGTCATTTTTACTGTTTTCACCATAAAAAGTTAAATTCCATAAAATAAATTGACAAAATATAATTTATGATATTGTGTAGTACATTTGGAAACATGCAATATTTATATTATTGCACAAACTTACGGTTTAATTCTATCTAGTACTATTTACTAAAACACTTTAATTATTAAGGGCAATCAAGAGTACAATAAAATCTTTTGCATGCACAGGTTCAATCATTTCCATCGCTTCGTACTTAATGATTAGNCAATCATTTCCATCGCTTCGTACTTAATGATTAGGTCCGAATTCTACAATGGAGCTTTGATTTAAGAGGAAATTGAGTGTGTCGGGTTGATCTTAAATCGTATTCAATAAAGAAAAAAACGACATTTTACTTAGAAGACTACTTTTACGTCTTGTGATTTTTCATTATAAGGGTATATAAGAAGCACCATGACTGTTTCAGGAAAAAATGAAAAGAAATTTTTTTTCCTTAAAAACCTTTATTCATATTCAAATTATTAATAACTCGAAACCGCTCTACCAAGGCCTTTCCTCGTCCCTAAAGACATGATTCTCATTAGACATGTGATAGATTTACATCGTTTAGAACCTTTCTTTCTCGCTTTTCTTTATTCTCGAAAGACAAGTAATAGATTTTGGTCTTTTAAAGCTGTCTTTTCGTATTAAATACGCCTCCTCAAAATTTGATAAAATTTTCCATATAAATATCAAAGATTATGTTGGATTTTGATACTCAATAAATCCGGGCAATGACGTTATTCAATTTTTTAGTTGGATTATACTTCATAGGCCTCTGCCAATGAGTGAAGTGAAATGTCTACACCACAATCGAATCACGTAATCCGCTTGAGCCATTTGAAGCAGTCTAATTAATTAGAATTACTTATGGCCCAACCCAAATACTTGGATGGTTTTAAGGTGTTAGCCAACTTACTCCTTTTCTTATTGTGCCTATTACTTGACCTAAAAGCCTAACTCATTCCTAACCTATTTATCTTGGCCGCCCACTACTGTCTTGTGTGTAGAAATTATTAGTTGAAAACGGTTTCTTGTCTTGGTTAGTGCCTTGGTTGTGTGACTTCTCTCGAGAGACCCGTTCTTCCTTCTTCTTTGTTTAGCCTTTGTGGTTGTTCTTCTTGGATGTAATCATTCCGCCTTTAGTCCTTTGTGGGCTATCAAATTGGAGCAACTATAGTGTTTGAGAAAGGTGTTCGGTTTGGAGATTAAATTGGTTGATTGTGGTGGTCGTTTGATTAGTTAACTGAGTCCGAATCTAGGAGCAATTGAAGGAAATAATCAACAGCTTAGATGTGAGGAAAATTTTCCATGTCCAAGAAATATCTCAATTTCAATGCTTATATTCGAATTGAGTTAAAACCACTCGTGCTTCGGCTTCTAACCTAGAAAATAGCCCACTAAGAATTTTAGACGAACTCTTTCTAATTGAATAATCATAATAAACTTCCACTAGCTACTAACCAACCAAATATACATGGTGTGCATATAATTAATTACTGGTTTCTTCTTGAAGTCGTCTACTTTTTACTTATTTATGTGAAAAAAATCTACCGAAAACGCACATTGGAGATTCGCCACGGTTTATTTAAGATAACGAGGTCAAAATATACTGCGCTTAATCAATTAATTATGTTTAATTGCAATTCGATCAAATGCCAGGCTAATGTTTATAAACTAGGTCAAATCAATATGCATTGAGATTTAGCCTTATAGCCCACTTTTCGTATAGTTAAAGTTCAGATTTTTAATAGATTCTAATAAAAGTTGATGAAACATATGATTGAAAAGTTGATTAAAAATATAGACACCAAACATGGGATAATCTCTATCACGAGAGTACTCATGAACAAAACAAGAAATGGAAACACAAATGCAAGCTCATAAATTTATAGCCTATTTTCAATATGAAAGTTTTCACTTGCTTTTAACAAAAAAATTGATCGCAAGATCGCGTCACACCTCTATTTATTATCTCGCATGTGGGGAAAATATATAGAACAACAAATTTGGTTATGCTGCACATATTTCGATTGTGAAGGTCAACCTAACAAGGTACAGGATTCTTGGCCAGAGCAAAAAAAAACGTCAACACCCTATTTTCTTGTTTGTTTTTCTTCCAATGAAAACATGCCAAGTGTATTTTCTGTACATTTTTCCTGTACTCATAGACTGGTTCCAAATGAAAACCACATTTTCAATTCCCTCTTAACTTTTCTTGGATGTTGAACTCACCGGTGCTTAACTGAGCAACCTTTCAATGAAAAGGTCCGAACTTCAACGAATTAGTAAGTGCAAACTCTTTATTTACTAATAAAATGGAAATATCTTGAATGCTTGTTTGGTACCATTTAAAAGGTTTCATCAATTAATTTTAATTACAAATTTACTAAAGTTTTTTACCGAAAACTTTATCAAACATCACCTAAATAAGAGTGACACCAACATGCGCAATGCACAACTTGAGCTCGACATCCTTACCAGAATTAAAAGTTTCTCATATCCATATATTATCCTATCGTCAAATCTTAAGCGTGCTTAATCTAAATTATCTTTAATTTTACAACTCATCATCCACTAATTATTTACACTAATCCCTCAAGGAACCACATAACACATAGTTAGGCCTAATTATATTTAAACCACCAAATGTATTCCACCATTTGTTTTGGCTGAAAATTATATTTTTAGTAAATTTTGATAAGTATTTGTCGTAGAAAATGAGTTTGGAAAAAAATTAAGGGAAGTTCTCTTCGTGTTTCAGTTTTTAGTTTTTAATTTTGAATTCATTTTAAATTTTATATTTTGAGTGTCCATTTTGAGATTGTTAAAAACGCGTTCTTTTTGTTATTTTGAAAATTTGTTTTCAAAAAAAAAAAAAAATGAAATTTTGGCTTGGTTTTAACTGAAAACAGTCAAAATGACTTTTTTGGCATTTTCCCTTTTTTTTTGTGAATTTTAAACTCGTTTTTAGAAATTCGTTTCTGAAAATAGGTAAGTAAACATGTTTTCAATGTTTTCAAAAATTGAAAACTGAAAAATGGCACGAAAACAACAAAAAGAACATACCCTTAGATTTTAAAAAATTAGGACCAAACAAAGATGCACAGCTTACATGGCACAAAACAGTTTGCACGTGTTCATGCTCATTGTCAACGATAGGCTTCATATAAATTTAGGCAGAAAGGGTTCCAATTTCTTGCATTAGCTTTTACTGTTCGACATCACTAATGACACCCTCGTAACAAAGTGCACAGCATTTTCCCTCAACCCTCTTTTATATATATCTATTAGTCTCTCTCGGAGTTCTTCCTTCTCTCAAAACGATCGATTTGATCGTGTATATACATTAATGGGGTATCGAAAATTTTCCACGTTCAATTTACTTTTCTTGATCATAGTTTTTTACGTGGTACATGCAGAAAATGGGGCACAAGTTTTGGACGATCGAGCTTCACTTGTATCGTTCATGTCTCAAATCACTCATGACCCTGAAAATGCTTTCGGGAATTGGAATTCTCCTGATGTATGCAAATGGTCAGGTGTACTTTGTGACAAGGATGGGAATAGAGTTGTAAACCTTACTTTAAGTGAAAAATTGCTGCGAGGAACAATTTCGTCATCTCTTTCCAAGCTTTCTCACTTGGTGATTCTTGATCTGTCCGGGAATTTCTTTGAAGGTCACATTCCTGCTGAACTTGGTTTTCTTTCCCAACTTGAAGTGATCAGCTTATCATCCAATCGTCTTGAAGGATACATCCCAAATGAGTTGAGATTTCTTCATCAATTGGTGATTCTTGATCTGTCCGGGAATTTCTTTGAAGGTCACATTCCTGCTGAACTTGGTTTTCTTTCCCAACTTGAAGTGATCAGCTTATCATCCAATCGTCTTGAAGGATACATCCCAAATGAGTTGAGATTTCTTCATCAATTAGTGTATCTTAATTTGGGAAGTAACAAGCTAACAGGTGACCTACCAATGTCACTTTTTTGTAATGGCACTTCTTCTGTTCAGTATTTAGACCTCTCCAACAATTCATTCACTGGGGAAATCCAGTTGAACAATCAATGTGAGCTTAAAGAGTTGAAATCTCTCCTTCTTTGGTCAAACCATCTTGAGGGCGATTTTCCTCAAGCCCTTTCAAACTCTTCTAAACTAGAATGTCTCGACATGGGGTCGAACTCACTGACCGGAGAGTTACCATCTAAGCTTGTGGGTAAAATGGTACACTTGAAAATTCTGCAGTTGTCCTACAACCGGTTCTCGAGTCATAATGGTAACACTGACCTCAAACCATTTTTTGCTTCTTTGGCCAATTGCTCTAACTTGACAGAACTCAATTTGGCAGGAAATCATCTTGGGGGAGAGTTGCCTTCTATTATCGGTACTCTCTCTACTAAACTTGCGAAGATAAATCTTGATGATAATCATATTCATGGTCCAATTCCTCCACCAATTTCAAATCTTGTCAATATCAATCTATTGATATTGTCTAATAATCTCCTCAATGGTTCAATCCCCCCTGAACTTTTTCAACTGGGGACACTGGAGAGACTCCATCTATCGAATAATTCACTCTCTGGACATATTCCCTCGGCTTTTGGCAATGTTCCCCATTTAGGCTTCCTCGATGTGTCAAAAAACAAACTCTGCGGTACAATCCCTGATAGCTTTGCTAACCTTTCTCAGCTACGAGGACTCTTGCTTTATGACAATCAGCTCTCAGGTACAATCCCACCAAGCCTAGGACAATGCATTAACTTGGAAATTCTTGACCTTTCTTACAATAGGATTTCAGGGACAATTCCAAGTGACGTTGCCGGTTTGAGTAGTTTGAAACTATACTTGAACTTATCAAGCAATCACCTGCAAGGGCAAATTCCACTAGAGCTGAAAAAAATGGACATGGTTCTAGCCATTGACCTATCATCAAACAACCTCTCGAGCACGATCCCATCCCAACTTGGAAGCTGTATTGCTCTTGAGAACCTCAACCTTTCGAGAAATATTTTTGAAGGGCCACTTCCTGAGTCTATAGGAAACTTGCGGTATCTCAAAGAATTTGATGTGTCCTTCAATGAATTAACAGGAGAGATACCATATTCTATGCAGGCTTCGTCTACTTTGAAGCAACTAAATTTTTCTTACAATAGCTTCTCTGGAAACATAACAAACAATGGTTCATTTTCTTCACTAACCGTCAAATCTTTCCTCGGGAATAACAGGCTTTGTGGTTCCATAGAAGGCATGCGAAAATGTCACAGAAAACGAACTCACAATTTATTAGTTGCAATTCTCCTTTCATTACTCATCACTCCTATATTCTGCATAGCTGGATATCCTCTACTACTCGGATCAAAATTGAGGAGGAAATCCACTGTTTTTAATCTGAAGGGCATTGAAGAAGAAGAAGAAGAAGAAGCAATGAGAAAAGAGATCAAATACCCAAGAATTTCTCATCGACAACTCATTGAAGCCACAGGAGGATTTAGTCCCTCAACCCTAATCGGATCAGGCAGATTTGGTCATGTTTATAAAGGAGTTCTTCAAGATAACACCAGAATAGCTGTGAAAGTTCTGCACTCTCAAGCGGATGGAGAAATTTCCGGGAGCTTTAAAAGGGAATGCCAAATTTTGAAAAGAACCAGGCACAGAAATTTGATCAGGATCATAACAATATGCAGCAGGCCAGATTTTAAGGCCATCGTCCTTCCCCTGATGCCAAATGGAAGCCTTGAAAATCTCCTGTATCCGAGCCATGGACAAAAGTGTGAATTGGATTTGGTTCAGCTTGTGAGCATTTGCAGTGATGTTGCTGAAGGGATGGCCTATCTGCATCACTATTCACCAATAAGAGTTGTGCATTGTGATCTTAAGCCGAGCAATATTCTCCTCGATGACGATATGACAGCTTTGGTCGCTGATTTTGGCATCTCAAGATTGGTAAAAGTTGCTGATAAGATTGTTTCAGCCAATGATTCTGCAGCTTATTCCTTAGGCTCTATGGATGGTTTGGTTTGTGGTTCAGTTGGTTATATTGCTCCCGGTAAGTGATCTTCATAATATTCTATTCATGAAAATCTGAATTCAAAAAATATGTGAACTATTTGACATCAGAACACAAAATTCTGCACAGTACTACATAGTACATGTCACGGTTTAAAGTCTAAATCATTTTTTATTTGCGTAATTATATCATAATAGCCCATACTGACCAATCTCATTTGCCTTTCCAATGGCAGAATATGGAATGGGAAAGCAGGCATCACCTCAAGGAGATGTTTATAGCCTTGGGGTACTTCTGTTAGAGATTGTGGCAGGGAGACGCCCAACGGATATCCTTTATAAAGAAGGTCCTAGTCTTCACGAATGGGTTAAAAGGCAATACCCAAACAGACTCGAGCCAATTGTTGAAGAAGCAATAGAAAGGTGTGCACCATGCGCCACCATTCAACATGACAGCAGCAAGATATGGCGTGACGTGATCTTGGAATTTATCGAACTCGGGCTAATCTGCACACAGTACAATCCCGCCACTAGACCAACCATGATAGACGTAGCTTATGAAATCAGTCGTCTGAAGCAGTATCTTTATAGTCCTTCAAACCTGCTCATTGATTCAGCATCAAGAAACCAAAATAAAATTTTTGCATCAAGAATGGCAACAAAAAAAATTCTGCAGATAATTGATGGGCACTAATTTTTCTGTTATGTAAGCTTTAGTATAGCCAGGATTAAAGTATTTCAGGTAGACTCAAATTTTTATCTTTAAACTTGACAAGCAGTCACTTCCAGTTTTTTGCATAAGATTTTTTCTTGGTAATTTAGAAGATCAAAGAATAATGTTTCATATAATATTTGCTAATTGCACTAAATTGTTGGCCCTATGGTTACTTTTAGAAGAGATGTCAACCTATGCCCGGCTGCCTGGTTCCAGGATGGCTCAGCGCAGTTGGTGCCTAGCATGGGTAGGTAGGCCCACGTGTGCTATAAAAAGAAAAGCGAAAACGGTTTAAAAAGGTTTGAGCCCGGTGACTTGCCGAGGTTTTTGTGCTAGACCTCGCACTTATTGCAAGGCTGACCTGGTCTGGTAGCAAGAAAGCGTGGGTCGTGCCATGCCACCGTAAAGGCGAGCTGGCTTGGGCGATCCAACTAGCCTGCTTTACGCCTCTAACTGGTAATGCAACTAACGAAATGCAGCCTTTTGGTTGGTCAAAAACGATAAACACTGTCAATGCCACCTAATCGGTGTCATGCACATAAATGGGCAATAACTTTGTGTTTTATTTTAAAAGAGTAATGTTATCCATCTTCAGTGGGGATAAAAATATAATTTAGGTGACTGTAAATGATAGATTTAAATTAAATGTGAAATTAAATAACTCACCTATTATTTAATACTATATTAACGCCACGTAGACTGTATTTTCATATCCAGTAGAGATGAATAGCGTTACTCATTTTAAAAAGCATATTACCAACTTAATGCATCAGTGATGGGCAGCACATTAATCATCATTGCGCAGTCGAATAGCTCTTAAAAGCCTACTTTCAGCCTACCATCACGAATACTACTTAATTATGTCTCCGAATGCCAGTGGAATTACCCAACTCTCTATCTCCCGAAAGAAGTGATTTAATGCACTTCAAAACTTTCATGATTGAGAAACCCAGATCATGGCTAATATTTTAGCTATATAGATTTTTTTTTCCTTTTTTAAAAGGAAACATCAATGTTAAGTCCAAATTATTGGCAATTTCTAACTTTGTAATTGACAATTTCATAAATGAATTGTATTAGGAGTTCATTGAGCTGTAATCAAAGTCAAAATATGAGTTATTGAATCCTAATTAAAATCAAAAGAGTTGGAATTGATAGTATAGACCTTGAAGGAGTTCAAGATGTCCAAGAAAATCACATACGATCAAGTAAATGTAATTAGAAATTTAAAGAGTGTCTAAGAGTCGTACAAGTTATGTTCCAAATTCTTAGTCGCAATTTACAATGCATTTTTCATATATAAAACATTGAAATTTGGACAAAGCTAATTCTAGAAGAATTGTAACACTTTGAGTTAGCTTTCCAATGCCTTTTGAATAAGCTCAATCAGATATTCGAAGAGAAATTTATGTTAAAAATACTGATGACTACTTAGTTGCTGCTAGCATGTCGATTGGCGTTCGAGCGACGGATCGACGTTCATAAATCTATTTTGCTTCAAACACTGGGTTTTTCAATCTATTTTCATCTCAAACATTTTTTCCTATATATATCATACCCTACGAACGTCCAAAAGTGTGTTGAATCAAATTTATTACACAAAGATCAATTCTTTGAATATCTAAAATACATTCAATGATTCAAAAATTCAACCACCATATTATTTGAACCATAATTTCATCCAAACTTTGATTTGTTAATTTAGCCATGCTGTTTCATATTAAACCACATATCAAACAAACAAAATCTTTTCATCAAATACCAAACCACCTAATCTACCGGAGATAAATTGATACCAGGGATCGGGAGCTATTGTAGAAGCAAAAATTCGAGAAGAGGAAGGTGAGGTACTGGAGTAAGGATCTGGCGTCGGATCACGCGGTCTAGTAGGTATAAATTATAAATCAAGAATCAAAATTTGTTTTGAAGGAGTACACCTCGAGTAGAATCAATGGAGACTACAGAATTTCAAATCAGAAGTTCTACGGGGTAAATGGGTCTGGACCGTACTGTAAGTTTGCTTCGATTTATAATGAATTATTGACTGATAAAGTTCCCGGAGTTTTTACCCAGTTGGGTTTTCTCTGTAATCATTTTAGGTGTTCTTTACTACTTTAATTATTAATTGGGGTATTCAAACTTATGATAAATTGACTTGTTTAATCTAACCATCTTTAAACAACTAAAAAGTGATTTGTTACTTTTAATTGTATAATTCCGCAAGTTTGGTCTAAATATTCGATAATTTAAAACTTTCAATTAACACAATCTTAATAGGTTTTCAAACACCATCAGGGAATGCTGATTGGGGTTTTGATACCTCTGACCTTGTATATAAAAACAAATACCTCGAGAATGTAAAGAATGAGGGGCATAAACCTGACATTCCAATAGCAAAAGGGTGCAAAATATGAAGAGATGGAATAAGAGGGAAAGTACTTCTTCAATTACAATACAAGCAAATGAACAACATTAGCAAAGAGAGATCAAGTGACGCTGATCCTCCTCTGAATGACCATATCGATCGGGCAGAGTAAATCGCCAGTTAACTCGGTCAAAGTCCAATTTTGACCGAGTCAAGTGTATTTCTATTAAATTAATCTGTCCGGCTCGGTCAAGGATCCGGGCCGCCAGTTTTCCTGTAAGGCCAACGGCCTGGCCCGGCCAAAATATTGAATGGTTCTACTCTCCAGATTCACATTTTCAATTGATTAATGTAAAAGTGAATTGGCTCTTTGACATATTTGCAAGAGAGATTGTTAGTATATATGATAGTAGTCTATGCGAATGAGATGCTTGCAAACAAAATTCCCATGATTTCCCATCTTCTTCGACGATCAAGATATTGTATGTTTTACTGAAGAAGCATAAATTGACCATTGGATACAAAAGGCACCTTTGGAGTGATTTCGCAATCCCTGGGAGGGTGGAAATGATGGGGTCAGATAATGGATTTTCCTTCTTCCAGGAGACAGTTGTAGCTAGAGAGCATTCCATACTATTATTGTCTCAACAAAATGGAAACTTTTTGTCCAGTAAGATCCGAGAAGCTCACGGAGAAATCTAAAGTGTTCTTGTGTCCTGACTTTGGAACAATTTGAATCCATAGTGCCAATGAAGAGTAACCACATCTGACATTTCAATTCATGATTAAATGAACCAAGGGAAAACAGACAATTAGCTAACTCAAAATTAGCTTAGCCTTAAAGTGTAGTTATTATAAATATGAAGGTGACATGTCGCATAGAGTTAGTTTTGCTGTTAGTGTCAAGATGGCAATGACAACTTGTGCATTGCCTTTATTTCTCGTCTTTATGTTCTCTCCCCAGTGAATACCTTCACCTAAATCCTTAAGCAAGTATTAAAGAATGTCCATCCACTTCTAATTAAAGTTACATAAAAGGTAAGTCTATACTTATTTTTTAGAAAAGTACTCTCACTATTTTTGGGCTAAGCCAAACCTTCTCTAAGTTTGTCATATGCAGACTTTTCCAATATATCCTCTGAAGTTCTTTGCCATAGGGACTCAGATAAGAATGTGCTTTTAATTGTTGCTTAAATTCTTCTGTGTCTTTCAGGAGTGGATATGCAAAAAATATACATAACTGCCTTCCAACAGACTTCAGGGATTAGAATATAACATCTACCTAATTCTTTTAGCGTTTGTAATTGGCTATCCCAATTACTCGTACCTTGATCAAGACAGACAGCTTATGTGGTCGAAATCCTTGGAAAGGAAAACCAAACTTAGCCTTTGACAAGGTTTACACAAAATTATTTATTATGTGTAACTTGTCATGTTGATCTCGTAAGCTTCTCAAAATAGACAATAAGAAACAAGGGTTGGGGTAGGCTCAATCCAATGAAACATGATAGTTGATAACCATATAAGCTGAAAAGCGACATTGATACTTCAAATACCCACAAAAAGAAAAAGAAAGTAGGCACGTGATAACTGAACAATGTACACAATAAGATTAATGATTCTTTATGATGAATATTAGTTTGGATTATGCACACAGTTACAGCTTATTTCACTTTCCTTTTCATTTTTGTGAACAAAGGTTGACACATACGACTGGATAATAATACACTTCTCTCCAGATTTTGACGGCATTAAAAAATAGAAAGCTATACATATAATCACACATTTCGTTATAGACAAAAATCGAGTTGTAATCAACTACATGACAGTCGTTGTAAATGAGAAAACATTTTCTTACAAAAATCAGGTGTTGGTAAGGTAATTATCTACTGTATATACAGCAAGCAGCATCAATTGCATTACATGTAGGACACTTCCGGTTGTAAGGAGTGGTTGTCAAAATTTGAACGGCTGGATCAGAGCCAAAAGTAAAGCATGTCCTGTATTCAGTACCAATGCATTTACCAAATAAGTAAGACAAGTAAAAGTAAAATAATAAAAAGGAATTGTGCAACACTTCTCAGAAATAAAACAAACCATATACCATAACATCAACTGCCTGGAAATTGGAGATTAAAAATGGTAATTAAGAGTGAGTACCTCCATGAGCGGAACTAAGGAAAGCTCCTCTTTCTGAGAGGACTTCTTCATTTTCCAATTCCTAATCTCATGATGTAATGAATTTATTTGCTCTTTGATCTCATTCAACAATTTCAATTCTTCCATTCTACTTGTTGATACTTGTCCTACAGCTGGTCTCTCAGCATCATGAATCTCTGATGCACCGTTCTGTTGATTCAATTTAGAAAGGCTAGTTGTGCCCCGATCAACAGCCAAACGGCAGTCAATAGTAGAAAGATTATTCTCGAGGTGAATGGATTGTAAAAGTTTCTTCAGCCAGTCAGGTTCATCTTTATCACACAATTTAGCAGCTTTTGGGTGAAAAGAATCTGCTTTTGCAAGACTCTTGTTTCCTTGACAAGCTATCTTTATTTCATCTTTAGTCTGCAATTCACAAGTTTTATGATTCTGGTCAACTCGGGGGACTTCATAA